TGGTTAGCTGGGCCAGTGTGTGCTGTGATTGGTTAGCTGGGCCAGTGTGTGTTGTGATTGGCAGCACTCGGCGCCTGGTCGGGAAATGTCATGCCCCTTACCAAAGCCGCCTGCAAGCTTCAGTGTAAATATTGCGTCAAAATCAAATCAATTTGAGAGCGATTTAAACCCGGATGATTGTAAGCACTCTAAGTTCGTCTGCTGCGATATTTAATGCGCATCTTGTCAGTAAAGCCGCTTCTGTAATCAGTGGTAAATCTCCATCACGTGCAGGTTTTCACATGGAGCAGCATTTACTACACAGAGCCGTTGTTCACTGACAAGCTGCGCAAAAAAATTGCACGATTATGAACGTGGTGTTGCGCAGCTTGCCTGTGAACAACGGCTCTGTGTAGTTAATGCTGCTTCATGTGAAAGCCCGCACGTGATGGAGATTTACCGCTGATTACAGAAGCGGCTTTACTGACAAGTAAAGCCGCTTGTATTACTGCGCATTAAATATCGCATGCGATTTATCGTGCAGCCCTACATGGCACTCTTGTGCCACACGTTCTCATGCAATGAAAAATACATTGCAGAGCAAAGAGGAAACTGACAACATGCCGACAGACAAGACAGAGCAGGTTACTTTAGGTATGAAACAAAGTTTCAGCTTTCAATTTTTTTTTTAAGGAATTCAAACAAATACCATTTTGTGGCTCTTTAATGTGTTGTGACAGATCACTGTAGCGCCTTAGTTCAAAAGGCACCTGAACAGATCTTCTCTCTCTTTACTAGTTAAAGCACGAAATAAACATGAATGAACATCAGACGGTATCTCGTTTCAACCGCGAAAAGATGTCAATACTCACCATTTTTCAAGTTCAAGTACACCGACGTTAATCTACTCTTCGGTCTGGTTTGTTTGTCAGACAAAATGGCAGATTTGGCGTTATGATTGGTCAGATCACCTGTCAATCAAACTCCTGGCGAAGGGTCAATAAGCACCAAAGGTCAGCATTAGATCAATGTGTCATGGGCTCTCCATGGGCTGTTATTGTATTGTTTGTAGCACATTTGTTACCATGTATAAAGGTCTGGTCTCAAAAGCCCCGTTTCTACTGCAGGAACTTTACCCAGGAACTAGGGACTTTGGGCCGGTACTCGGTGTGTTTCCACCGCAGGAACCAGGATCTAAATAAACTTCCGGGTGAAAAATTGCCCCTCAGAAAGTCCCTGCTCACGAGCTAGTGCTTTTTCAAAGGTCCAGAACTTTCAGGGGCGGGACTTGGGCGCTGAACATGCTGATTGGTTGAGTTCACGCAGCATTGTATTTCAACCACCATATATTCTGATCATTTTCAAAATATTACAGTTATTGTGTCATGAAATGTAGTTTGAAAAGTATTTCAGGCGAGAATGTAGTTGTTTAAAACTCAAATATGCGGTTTCTTTATAAAGACAGCGCCTATTTAAAAATGTTTCGCCGATTTCGGAGACGTGAGCTCCACGCGATCAGCGGGCGCTCAGTGCTCCTGTTTCCCGACAAGAGCAGCCTCAACTCGGCTAGTCCTTCTGACATTTGCCGCTGGCTCTGATGTCTCTTTAGTGGTTAAACATAAGATACCATTTTATTTGGGTAAATCTAACAGGTAATCTTTGGTCTTTATTCTATTAATCTATTAATATGTTAAAATGAAAATAAAAAGAGGCAATACTGTTTGATATAATATTTTGTTTCATTGTAATGTAGGCTATATACATCCCCTGAATGACATTTCTGCGACTATTAATATGTTTAAATGAAAACGAAAGGAGGCAGTGGTGTTTGATATATTTCGTCTTATTATAAATACATTGAGGAAAATTGCAGTAGCCAAGGCGAGCTGACTGACGTTATCAAGTACACTGCTGTTTGCAGAATTACCGGACTTGCGTTGTCCCGTCCGCGGGATTTCACTGTCACACTCCCGAGCCGAACTCGCAAAGTCCGAACTACCGAGGATGCAAGTCCGAAATTTGCGTACTTGGTATTGAGAAACGCGCGCAGACCTACGTCACCAGACTATTTGCCTATTCTTCACAGTACTTTAGACCGCGATGGAAACGCAGACAGCAACAGGTCTAGGGGAAAAAAAGTTCCTGGGACAAATTGTTCCAGGTAATTTCAGTGGAAAAGCGGCTAAAGACAGCATCTTGGGATAAGATTTTCCGAAGGATGACATGCTAACATCGCTGCTGAAGAACTGCTACACTACAACCTTCAATAAATTCTTCTCCCCACAAGAACTTTGGTCAAGCTTACTTTATGTGTTAGAGAAATCTAGTACATTGGCGAGCCACCCAAACAACTGCTCAGCCAAATAAAGCAAAATCTAACAGTGACTATCATAAATCTTTAAAAAGAGCAGTTTATTAACCATGTGTCTATGATGCACCACAGTACCTTGTAGTTTTCTAATTCCATGCGGAGTCTGTTGTTGGCCATAAGAAGCTCGCGATAACGGGCATCACACTGCTTCAGCTCTGTCTCCAGCTCTGCCTCATAGTCTCGACTCATCTGCTGAAACTCCTGCAGCTCCTCCTGCGCCTCCTCAGCCCTGAACAAGCAGTGATTCAATAAGATGACTGAATGTGGGTTGTAAAGGAAGATCTTATCCTTCATTCTATCTGAAGTGTTTAGCAACAAACCTGGGCTCTGCAAAACTGCCTTACTTTTCCTTAAGTTACATTATGTCCAATGTAGATCAAATGTCATTTTGAATGAAAAACAACACTGAAGTAGCCTACCTTTGCTGGTATTTGGCAGCCTGTTCCTTCCAGTAGTCCCTCTCTTGTTCAACAGATGCAAATGTTGCTGGCTCAGGGTCACTCATTGCTGTGCAGTCAGGTTTACTGGCAAAATAATGGCCATCAATATATAAAAAAAGTCATAATAATAATAATAATAGGAATAATAAATTAATTGATTGATAAAATATATAGATTATATTGCATAAAAACATTGTTTGGAGTAACAAATCAAATTGTTTGTGGTCAAACTATTTGTGGTCTACAGGTGCATCTCAATAAATTAGAATGTCGTGGAAAAGTTTATTTATTTCAGTAATTCAACTCAAATTGTGAAACTTGTGTATTAAATAAATTCAATGCACACAGACTGAAGTAGTTTAAGTCTTTGGTTCTTTTAATTGTGATGATTTTGGCTCACATTTAAAATTACTTTAATAACGAATGAAGAACACGTTGACGTGTAATTTGGCTGAAACTGTTGATTACAATAACTATATAATTAGCAGCATGTTGCGCAGCGTTTTAGAGAACTAACACATCTCAGAACTCAACCGAACTGATAACGCTAGCTAGCAACTTACTTACCTCCGGGTATTTGCTCAAAGCTGCTTTCTTCCAAATATCTATCTACTTCCTGTGAGAGATATGTTGAGCTAAATAGTATGATTACGACCCTGAGAATAAATAACAACACTATGCAAACTATTTTCTAGCACGTTACACTCCTGACAATGGGACTCTTCAAAAGTTTCGTTTCATCGTTTGTTTGTTTTTTTCGATCGGTTCGTTTCGACTCAGTAAGTTCCTTCCATAACAAGGCAGGGGTTATTAGGTTATTATGCGCTCTAATACATTTCATTTTATATTTAGCATTTTTCCTTTTTTTATATAAAATAAGAATGATTACTGTAATTCCATGTGTCACAGTTCTGTTAGTAGCAGTCATGATTCAGAAATTTAGAAAATAAATAATTGCATTACATTGACCACTGATTTAATGTCTTTTTATACTAAATTTAAAATATTACACAATAATTGTCAAAAAGCATTCAAATTAAAATGAAATGACAGCAAGTCAGCACACTTACGTATACCAAGGGCAGTACTCCGCTGGCTCCTTTAGATTGGCCCCAGTAAGTCCCGAACATGGCATGAAATGAACATCTTTCCTGGGGTTGAACCCAACTTTCTTCAAAAATGGAACAAGTTTCTCCTTACATTCTTCGTACCTATGTGCAAACAGTGGAAAAAATTAACACTCAATACCATTTTTTCTAAAAAAGCAATAAAACAAGATCAAATACAATAACAATAGCCTTTGCATATAAATGTAAATTTTCTGACCTCTCCAAACTCCAGTTCACTGTTGGATCATCCATTTTGTTTACAAGTACAATCAAATGCTTCACTCCAGCAGTTTTGGCCAACATGGCATGCTCCCGCGTCTGGCCTCCTTTCTCAAAGCCTGTTTCAAACTCTCCTTTCCTTGCAGAGATTACCTTCAGACAGAAATATGACAATGAATTCAGAGACTGAAGTGAATGAACAGACAGCAGTTTCTGGTGTGTGAGTGAAAGTCAAAGCCTTTTGAGACGGACATTGGCATTCAAACAGCGCCATCTACTGTGTCATTAACACAGTCAACCTGCTCACAGCCCAGCAATGGAGAGGGTTTTTCCATGGAGACTTGGACTTGGAGACATGGATATTTCTCACAGCTGCCTTTCAGTGCCTATTCAACGCTATGACTCACCAGCACTGCCAAATCAGCCTGTGAAGCTCCACCAATCATGTTGGGCACAAAGCTTTTGTGGCCTGGTGCGTCCAGAATGGTAAAGTGCTTTTTCTCTGTCTCAAAGTACGCACGTCCGACTTCCACAGTTTTTCCTTTGTCTCTTTCCTCCTGGTTTGTGTCAAGGGCCCAAGAGAGGTACCTGAGAAAAAACATTTACTATGAAAAATTCCTCTACCTTAGTCAAAAATGAATAAATAAATAAAAATACTGAAGTGTTACACGTTTCTTTAGAGGGAATCTGTTTGACTGCCCACCAGATAAACGTTTGGTAAATTAACTTTTTAACTAAGCTAATTACCATGTTTCCCTGTTCTTCTCCTTGGCTTCTTTCTCATACTTCTCCAGAGTTCGTTTATCCACCATTCCTGTTAAATACCTGTGGAGGAGGGGCAGAATATAGGCTATCAGAAACATGGGACGGAAAAAACAACAATATCTGCTAAAAACACTGTGGCAAAATCAGCAACTCACATGATTTGTCCTCCAATAGTTGACTTACCAGCATCTAGAGGAAAATGAGATAAGAAAGAGACAGGGTGAAGCCAGGACAGAAAAAGATGGTACAATTCTGTTCTCTAAAGACATTTTAAAAGTGTTCCCCATGATGCTCTTGAGATATGAATGAACTGAGATGCCTTGAGGGTAACTGATTAATAATAAAATGGTTATATAACAAATCCAAGTAAATTAGAGCCAAGTGCAAAAACTATTCCAGCAAATAAGATGAATAAAACTGTGACGTTACTGGAACTGCTTATTTTAAGAAACGGAAATGGAAGCTAAACATGAAAAGTTAAAACAACAAAACTGAAAAAGATATAGCATGAAGATCTTGGCAAGTTACTGTGCAATTAACCATGTTTGTTTGTTTATAATTTAGCATAATACCAATTACCACAGCTGACAATGGGACTCTTCCGTTCCGACTGTTGTGTAAAAACTCTCAGCTCGTGGTTTGTTTCATGCCTGCTTCTGATTGGCCGATCTGTAATGACGCCATCATTTTGCAAGCCATCGGTTGGTTGTTTGGATACGTTTGTTTCAAGCGATCCTCTCTTATCTACCTCGGACACTAGAAGGCGCTGAAAAATACTGCTCGACACCTATAAAATAATAATTATTTACTGTAGGATTAAAAGTTTCGTTTCATCGTTTGTTTGTTTTTTTCGATCGGTTAGTTTCGACTCAGTAAGTTCCTTCCATAACAATGCAGGGGTTATTAGGTTATTATGCGCTCTAATACATTTCATTTTATATTTAGCATTTTCCCTTTTTTTATATAAAATAAGAATGATTACTGTAATTCCATGTGTCACAGTTCTGTTAGATGCAGTCATGATTCAGAAATTTAGAAAATAAATAATTGCATTACATTGAACAATATTAATTTATACAATACTGACGTACTCATTTACATCTCTCAGCTAGAAAAATTGTGTGTGGACCAAACCTGCAGAATGAATTAATGAATGGATGAATTAATAAGTTAATAAGAATAAAATAAAAGTTAACAATAAATACAGAAAATAATTAATTAAGGAAAATGTAGCTAATACAAAAAAATCAGGACATATTATATAATGTCCCTATTATTACATTTATTTATTTACTTATTTTCTGTAGGTTTGGTCCTCCGTGTGTGTTTTCATGTCGGTGTTATCATTACAACGTTATTCTTTTAAAAAAAATTCGCATGTGTGTTGAAAAAACTCATACAATCATGTCGTAAGCATTTTTAATAACTTTTTAAATACGTTTCAAATATCAACATTGGCTACCAGAAATCGCTTACCCTGCCTTTAATGAATCGAAAAACAACTGAATAATATAAAAGTCAAACTATACAGAGAAAACAAAAATATATATGCCAAAGAGAAGACCCCCAATGAAGATGGCCAGGGCTGGCTTTTTAAAGTGACTCCAGCCACATTTCACTCCTTTGTGGGAAGTCTTTCCAGGACATGAACCAGCTTCATCAGTCTGCATCCGCACAGCAGATATGTTGGAATGCATCTTGATCTACAGAAATGTAAGACCACCGATATGAACTCGGCCTTAAAACATTGACATAGAAAAATAATTCATCATCACTTAACTACATTAATCAAAAAATGAAGCACTTACTCAGAAAGCTCAGGGCCCATCAATGGTTGTACAGAAGCTCTTGTTCCACTTCTGCCTGCCAGTTACTGCATTTATCCACAAAATACAGTGGAGTGAAAGCCACTCCCTGTGGGTGTGTCAGAATCTGGAGCTGGACCACACTGCCCTATTTGTGGCTCAGAGTAATTGCACACACAAATACAAAAATCACATTGCAACCGGTTTAAGCAAAGGGCTAAACCGTTCATAACGAGCCCATGTTTTACAGGACATGCAGGATCTAGAAACACTTAAAATAATCATTGCAGTTTGCATATGCAAGGTATTAAATTATATAGGAATTAGTAATGCATAGTACTTAAAGTACTTAGGATTTCTGCCTTAAACTAAACATGAAAAAATATATATATAAATATATATATATATATATAGGCGTTTGACATGGAAATATATCAACACAGATAAAATAATTTTTTAAAAAGTGGCTACCAAAATGTAGGTCAGATACATTTCCAACACTTCTTTTTAAAAAATTTTTTTTTTTAAGAAACTCAGTCATATAGCACAAAATATTTAATGCGTATTTTAATTATACCTGTCATGTTTGTGGTTTTTCATCATTATACAGTCTGTTTAAATAAATATTCAGAAACACATGCAGTGCTCTTTTTGTCTTTTTTCTGTTTAACGTTTATTAAACTGCAGCTCAAAATAGAATAGGCCTATAGCCTACCCTAAATAAGGATAAATTGCATTAGAACGCATCTCCAAAATAATCACATACACAGATTCACGTTGCCATAACATTAGTCAGCGCCAAACAACAGGCAAATAAAATATAAACTGAGGTTACAAAAGTGATTCAGTCAAGATCAGTGAAGGATTTTCTTTCTTTTGTTCTTTGATTAACATTACAATGACTTGCGGCAGCAGCTGCTGTCAATGCACGGATCCAATACACCCTTGTTTTAAAAATAAAAAATAAAAAAAAAAAGTTTGGAAGAGAGCTAGATCTCTTGCCATTTAACATGTGCAGGTGGATGAAGAACAGGTCATGGGGGAGAACCTAAAACAATGGCATCGCTGAGCTCTCAATATGAGAAAGCTGACACATGTGATATAATTCTGTGTGTATTTGTCCATTCGAATGTGTAAGAACACGAGAAAGAGAGCTCAGTCCAGTGTTTGCATATATAAGAGGCGGCTTTTGTGCGTGCGCTTTGTTTGTGTGTGTGTGCAGCACAGAAAACAGCACGCGAGTGCAGAAGTGAGTTCTATTTCGTCTTCTTGCAGTTGAATCTTTTGAAATCACAATAAATGCGCATACAGAAATCGAGATGCAGAAACGAAATTTAATTTTATAAGAAGTAATTCGATTCCCAACCCTCCTACTAAATTATTT